CGCCCCCCCCCCAGCCAAAAGCCTGTGGCTTGCTTAGTATCCCAATACTGCCCAGCCTGGAGCCACCTCCTCCTGCATCCAGATTTCCTCCAGAGCTTGCACTGCTCACCCCTTCCCACATCCAAAGCCCTCATTCCCACCCCAGAGACTACACATCCTGTCTCAACCCAGCGAGGGTACGGCTAGACTGCAGGAGTTTTTCAGGATTCTGGAGATATCCCAGAAAAACTCTCCTGCATCCAGGGCTGCGTTTGTTCTTCTGCTTTTTCAGTGGAAGAGCAAACAGGCTCTTTCGGTCACCCCTATACTCCTCTTTCCACAAGGAATAAGGGGGCTTCCAAAAGAAGGGGTTTTTTTTCCTGACATTTGGTCCAGTCTAGACAGGCCAAATGTTGGAAAAACCTCTTCCTACAGAAGATTTTTTTTAAAGCAGCAGTATTAGGATTGGGGATAGCAAGTGATGGAGAGGAGAAGAATTGAGAAGGCGGGGCTTCAAGGAAGGGGTGGGGCTGTAGATCTTGGCTTGGTCTGTCATTTAAAAAGTGATCTTGGGTGTAAAAAGGTTGGAGACCACTGGGCTAGAGCCAACTCTTTGCTAACAGGAGCAGCAGCCCCAGAGCAGGGAAGAGGGCTGAGGACAGCTGCTCAGTTTAGATAAGATATGTGCTGCTGACGCAGTATCCCAGGATGTTGGGAGGATGTCCAGGGACACTTGGCCCAGGACTGTTAGTAGCTACGGTCTCTATTTCCCAACAATATCAGTGGTATTTCACGTGCAGGACAAAAATTCAAGTTGAACCTACTGACACTACTGGATCACTAGAGGGCAGCAGGCGTGTGCCGCTTAGTCCATCATAAACACAACCTCGGGTAATACGGCCAACACCACCTCTGCTTAAATAAAGCCCAGGAGCGCGACCCATCTCTCTTTGGTGTGCTGTGTTTTAGATCTGCTAAGGCAACTCGGAGCAGGACAACGTGTCCTATGGCTGGGCCTGCCACTCTGTGCCCTTTGTGTGTGTGGGTTGGCTGGCCTCAGCCAAAGGCGCGAAGTCAGAGGTGCAGAACATTCACACAGCTGCTCTGTGGGGGCCAGTCAGGCTCCTCTTTGCCTTTTCACAAAGAACGTCTGGACAGGGACAACACCGACAGTGCTCAGAGAAGCGATCTGTGGATGTTGGACACATTCGAGCAGACAGCTGTAACAGGGGAAGCAAAGCAGTGCGGCAGCCTGACACTAAATGTCACTTTTGAATAATGGGCCAAAGCCTGAGGCACTGCGTGCCTGCCATTCCCACGGAAATCAATGACAGCAAGAGACACTCAACACCCTAGGAATCCAGTCAAATTGCTGGTTTATACTGCTGCCTTTTCAGGGAGCGGAGTCATCTTGCTCCTGAATTCGGGTTGATACTTTATTACTTATTTATGGCAAGCCCTCTCTGCCCACACCCCCTGCCACACCCTGATCTCAACCCACTCCAAAAATGGAGGCTTATTACATGGCAGCTGAAGAACTCTGTTTCCAGGCTAAGGGGATGGTGTTTGACAGGCTTCTTGCTATTTCACATTTGGCTACTAGTGAGATATTTGCATAAGAAAAAAATATACTGGTTCAGACCAAAGGTCCATCTAGCCCAGTATCCTGTCTGCTAACAGTGGTCAATGCCAGGTGCCCCAGAAGAAGTGAACACAACAGGTAACCCTCATGTGATCCCTCCCCTGTCACCCATTTCCAGGTTCTGTCAGAGGCTAAAAACCACCATTGATGGACCTATCCCCCATGACCTCATCTGGTTTTGACATTGTGCATGAATAGAATGGAAAAGCCTCAGCGAGCAGCACTGCAAATCATTTTGCTAGAGACTCACCCAGCTCTGGAGCAAGATTAAATGCTGGTATCAACGAGGGATGTAAAATCCCATTTAAGTGGTTCACTAATTAAAGGAGGGGTTGGGCAGGGGGGAGGGAGCTGCTCTGGTCCCTATCAGTTAACTAGAACCTCACTCATTAAGGTGAGGCTTACTGGTTAACTGGTCACATCCCTAGTGTCACTTTTGATACTTTACAACATTGCATGAAGCTGGCTGCAGAAATTCTGCTCTGATGGTAAACATCAAACATGTCCTTCAGCTTTGCTGATGTCTCCTGACTTTCCCTCACGGCTCTTGTGAGTAGCAGAGCAGATGTCAGAGCAATAGCAGGCTCAGTGCATGCCTTTTGAAACACCATCATATTAAGAACAACGAATAGTCTTGTCGCACCTCAGACTAACAAAAATATATAGGATCGTATTTAGGAAATCTAGTAAGCAATACCAGAAAATGTAGCACAGTGCTCCAGGGATGTCATAAGGCTAATCCAGAAACATGGATTTCATCTGCAACAGCCAAGAGAATAGGCCTTTAAAAGCACTCAAGTCACAGCTGTGATATTTGATCCATTTGACTAACGCTTCCTAAATCCTAGAGGCAAACTCTATGATTTCTGCTGTGCTTACAATGGTATGGGGAGCAGTTACAGAGTAATTCATGTCCATCTCTCTCAGTTTCGTTAAGGGACAAAGGGACAGTCCCAATAGATACTCTGGGGAGACTGATACAACATGCTTTCTTCCTTGCCCCTAACCACTACCACTCTTTAAATCAGTAGCACCTGTGTTGACAGAACTTGCCCACTGGTTAATTCCCAAAGTCTGGTCATGTACGACAGCCAAGCTAAAGGAAGGGGCACTGCACTGAAAATAGTATTTCAGGTTGCTCTGAAGGAGCAGGTGTCACAGCTAGAGTGGCTATGAGGGATGTAAAATGCTAGGTAATCAGTTGACTGGTTAAACCTTAGGTTTAACTGGTTAATCAATTAAGTGGGATCCCATGGGGGTGGGGGCAGCAGCAGGCATCTCCAAGCACAGGGAGGAGGGCAGCTTCTGCTCCTGGTCCCTGCAAGGCAGCTGCTCCCCAGTAGCAGTTACCCATTCATGTTCCTAGCAGGCACCAATTTTGCTTTATTGCTCTTTGTAATCCTATTTTTGAAAGGACAAATGTGATTTTTTCAGTCCAGACTGTGGCACTCACAGCCTGGCCAGCTAGGGCAGAAACAGCAAGCTGGGAGAGGGGCAGGAATCTCGTCCCTTTTTATTTCCCAAACATTGCAGAGATGACATGGAACAAGTCATTTGTAACAATCCTTTATCATCGCTCCACTTCCCCAACACAAACACCCCTTTTCCCCAGACACATTCCCTAGCAGTACTCAGGGCTAGCACGCATGCAGCTGAGTTCAGGTTAGTCAATGGCTCTCTGCCCTGGGTAACTGGGATACTAATCACAGCTTACACCACTAGTTTCTCCTTCGTCCATTTCTCAATTTCATAAGCCATTCCTTAGACAAGTTAATTTCCAGTGAGTCTGCAAAGACGGAGGAGAGAGATCTCCCAATCTGCTGTTTGGGGACCAGTACTGCTTTCTCTCCACCCCTATAGAAGTGCCTGCTGTACCTATTAAGTACAAAAGCTAGCTGGCATTCAGCAATCATCTGGATATTCTATATAGAAACCACATTGCAGTGAATAGGATGTTAGCCATCTCTGAAAAACCTCTCAGTGCTTTCTCTACGGGCTCTTGGCCATCGAACAGAAGTCAGTTTTGTCCACTGGGAACTATTTTACTCATCCTGTTTTTTTAAATACGGCTCCCATAATCATACTGCCTGAGCCCCTCACAATCTTTAATCTATTTATCCTCATAACATCCCTGGGAGCAAGGGGAATGCTATGATCCCCATTTCCAGATGGAAAGTTGGGACCAAAGGGCAAATCACTGAGCCTCAAGGTCAGAGGAAGGGAACTGAGATACAGATACACAGAACAGGTCCTCTCTGATCATAACATGTCTTTTAACCACTGGATAATTCTTATTCTTCCTTCTCACCACTAACTCCTTTAAAGAGCCTTTTCCAGCTCTCTTCTGATCCTTTAAATATCAGAGAGGAATGCAGATGCTTCCCTAAGGTAGCCATTTGACATGAACTGCCAAAGACTATTC